ATCTACCTACCGTCGTGTGATCGAGGCATACCTGACGGACAGGTCCGTCATCTACCCCGGTCACCGGGGCGAGTGGAACTGGCGAGAGATGTCACAGAGGTGTTTCACAGGGTTCGGTTCTGGGGCCGCTCCTGTGAAACATCGGCTATGACTGGGTACTGCGCACCGACCTCCCGAACGGCGATAGCATCATATGCTACGCCGACGACACGCTGATGCTAGCGCACGGGAGGTCGCACGAGGCAGCTGCTGACTTAATGGCGACAGCGGTTGCGACAGTTGTTGAGAGAATCCGGCAATTGGGACTCGAGGTGGCGCTCCACAAGTCCGAGGCTATGTGTTTTCATGGCCGCGAGAACGCGCCACCTCCGGGTGAGTCCCAAATAACGGAGGGAGAGGTTACCATCGGCGTCGAGACGAAGATGAAGTACCTGGGACTCGTCCTCGACAGTCGGTGGAACTTCGTGGAGCATTTCCGACGTTTGGCTCCAAAGTTGGAGAGGACAGGGGCTGCGTTTAAGCGCACCCTCCCCAAAATCTCTCTACGGCGCCCCTGTGTGGGCGCCGAATCTGATGCGGCGGCCCGCTCGGGCGCTGCTCATGTCACAGAGGGTCATGGCGATCCGAATGATCCGCGGATACCGCACGATCTCCGGGGAGTCGGCGAACCTCCTTGCCGGATTACCGCCGTGGGATCTAGAGGCGAAGTGCTCGCGCGCATGTATCACATGCGACGAGTATCGCTCCGCCGCCGCGCCAGATAAGTGCGTGGCGGGAAGAGCTCCGGCGCGATCTCATCGCGGAATGGTAGCAACGAATTGTCTTAAAACATCTACTAAGCACCGACTTATAACTTATATTTTCCTGCACATTTGTCCATTTTATTGTCAGAGCCTGGTAGGGACATTTTTCAAGGGCGCAGTTTTGAAAACTGGCACCGGGCGCCTAGAAGGCTAGTTACGGCACTGGTCTGTGTGTATGTTCCATATAGAAATAAAAACTACTCGACGGATTTTTATGAAACTTGGTGCAATTATTATTCTTATTGCGACCACTCGGCCAACGGGGCAGTCTTTTCATATCACGCTATAATCAATAGGAGCAGAGCAGTGGAGGAAAGTGTCGGGAAAACGGGAGAAGTTACTCCATTTTTTAAGCTTCCGTCGCGTGAGCGGGCTTAATAGTTAAAGCTACGTAGAAATCATCATCATCATCATCATCAACAGCCTATAAATGCCCACTGCTGAGCAAAGCCTCTTCTCACACGGAGAAGGTTAGAGCATTAATCACCACGCTTGCTCAATGCGGGTTGGCGATTTCAAACTTATAATTAGAAATTATAAGCCCAGGTTTCCTCACGATGTTTTTCCTTCACCGTTTGTCAGTGGTGTCTAAATAATCTTAGAAAGTACATATAACTCGGAAAAAGTCACATTGGTACTTGCCGTTGGTAGGTTTCGAACCCGCACCCTCATGCATGAGAAGCAGGCGTCTTAAACCTCCGAGCCACCACGACGTAGAAATCATATTATTATCTAAATAATATCCCACAACAGCACACGTGTATCTTTTATGGTTTTATGCTCACAATAACACGTGTAACTCCCGATAGCTTAGCAGTTCGGAGCTTTCTGCTTATATTTGTGTAGGGAACAGAGAGTATAGTTCCCTAAGATCGGAAAAGGAGGATCCTTACTCTTACGTTTACAATACTTTACGCTGTAACTGTAGGGCTGATGGTTGAAATTAGCTTGACTCGATATTATAAATGTGAAAATATCTGTTACTCAGTCATATTAAAACGACTAAAGGGACCGAAATGAAATTCGGAACAGAGGTAATACATAGACATTTTACCCCTGGGATCGCGGGCGAAGCCGCTGGCTGAAGCTAGTATAAAAAAGAATGCATAGTCAGGTGCTTAAAGAATACTTGTATGACACGAAAGTCTCTGGTCGTACTTATTAGTGGTCCGCGCTAAAGGTATCTCATTTGTACGTAGTCTGCTTCATCGTACGGAAAATCCTCTGCAGCGCGTTCCCGACTCAATCAAACTTGCTCGTCAGTTGCCTTCGTTACCACTTGACCAAAGATTCAGTCGTAAATGATTATATTCATATACGGTTGCCGTGTATAGTTCACAGTTCTATGAGTAGTGGCACGGGCAATAGATGGTTCGATTCCCTGCAATATGGTTGGGTTGGGTTGTGGTGCAAGTACTGGATGGACATCTTCATTGTCAGCTGGTTACTTTACATTGCTTTGCAGAATTTATCATTACTTATTCTCTTGTTGTTCAGTTATGTGAGAACAATGTAATTCCAATATTTAGTCAAAGGGTCACATGATTTCACTATGCAGTTAAATAACGTAAATTAATTATCCATCCAAACCTTAATGAGGGTTCCATATCGTGTTTATGTTCACTAGATGGCGAATTTAAAGCTGTGTTTCTACTGACGCGGAGTGGGGCGGAGAGGAGCTTAGCGGTGCACGAATTGACCAATTACTATGGTCGAAATCTCTGCCCCGCTTCAATGGAAACAGCATGAGCGGGGTGGAGCAGAGATGAGCGAATATTATTCATAATAAAAATACAGCGAGGCAATGCGATGCAGAGGACAACGAGCATTGGGGTGCAGAGTGGAGAACAGCGGGCCAGTGCTGGATATCGGGGCAACAGTCAATGCTACGGCATCTGATTCTGGCTCTGTTGTGGTTCTTTTCACTCTGCGCCGGTTCAGTGGAAACACTGACCACTTGTCACCGCTCCTCTTCACCTAGCTCCGCGTCAGTGGAAACGCAGCCTAACCGTCATATCTGTTCGTCCATTAAAGAAATAGCCAGTGTCACCTCATTGGTAATACAGTTTTTGACGTAGTTACAATTATTGGACAAATAGATCTTTCGCCATAAAGGTAAGCGGGATCAGGCGCGCAAAGAAACGGTAGCCCCATTGTAAAACTTAATTTAAACAACCAATAAACAACAAACAATAAACTTCATAGAATTACTTTCTATGAAGTTTATTGTTTGTTTTTCTCTTCTCCACACGACATGGACACTACACTTGGGATCGAATGAGTAGTTTCACTGAAATACCGACAGACAGAAACGTTTTTACTCTGACTATCCGATTTCCAAAATTGTCTTTTCTAAAATATTGATAGTTTTTTAATTTTTTTCATGTGCACCGATGAAAAATAATAAGGAAGACACGAAAAGTTATTTGATGTCACATGGTTTCTACACAAATGGAAGCGTTAGTTTATGAACAGTAATATTGCGGTGCAGCCGCAATTTTTCATTAATACATTTTATTTATTTAGTCATTAGTGAACACAATGTGAGGCACAGGCGCATAAGGCGAACTTAATACCATATTGGTGTGACATTCTCTACCAGTCAACTTTAGGGTTAAAGTAGAAACTCTGCGAAAAATACGGCACAGAGAATAAATTAACAGCAAAAAGAAAAATATAACAATGATATAAGGGACTAGCGACCCGCCCCGGCTTCGCACGGGTGCAATGCTTATGTAAATATACCTACTAAAGATTGTCTTTATACCCAACGTTCACAGCTTTTTTGTCATTAGAGGTAGACAATTAATGTGGACAATACTGTAGTACATTATTGTGGTCTATCTCGTAAGGTTCAGCCAGCGTTTGTAATATCAGCGCTTATTTACGACTTCACTTTAGAAACCTCTAAATTTATCAGTGGTTCTCTACTAGATTATACATGTATCAATATCTTCTATACATACAATAAAATCGTAGGAAAGTGAAAACTATACATCGAATTCTTTTTTAAAAGAATGCTTTGTGCGTGATCTACAGTCGATACTGAAACCAAAAATATGGTTTCTAGAATTTTTGTCTGTTTATCTGTATGTATGTCCGGGATGAAATAAAAAAAGTGCTGCATGGACTTACTTCAAATTTTGCATGAATATTACTAACAGGTCGGGTCAACATATAGGCTACATATTATCATGCTATCAAGTACGGGGGAGGAGCAGTGAATCACTTTTCCATGCGGACGAAGTCGTGGGCTCAGCTAGTTATACATATAAACCTTCTTTAAGAATCACTCTATCTATTAAAAAACCGCGTCAAACTCCGTTGCGTAATTATAAACATCTATGATCTAAGCATATATTGGGATTGGGACAGACAGACGGCGGATAGCGGCTTTGTTTTATACATATTATGTAGTGATAGTGATATGTATTGATATAGTTATACACAGTGCCGTAACTAGCCTTTTATGCGCCCGGTGCGAGCTTTCAAAACTGCGCCCTTGAAAAATGTCCTTACCAGGCTCTGACAATAAAATGGACAAATGTGCATGAAAACATAACTGTTTATTGTTTACCAAGATATAGGTCGGTACTTAGTAGATTTTTTAAGATAATTTGTTAAAAATTTATAAAAAGAAAAAATTATAAATAATAGTATAGTTAATAAAATTAAAAAACTGCGTTTAAAAAAACGGGCTTCAAAAACTAATGACAAACGAAAAGTAAAAACTAAAAAATAACTATTATTGGTCACTCGTACTTATAGCTTACAGACCCACTGATAGGTTAGAGTCGGTGCCACAAGTCTCAAACACCTGGGAGTCTTCAAGGCCCGAGGGGATAGGTTGCTTATGGGACGACGTGCTCCATCGTAGACTGCATCATCGCTTACCATCAGGTGAGATAGTGGTCAAACGTCGCCACATCAAATATAAAAAAAAAATAACAAATGCAACAAAATTATCATGGGACTATTCTGGGATTATCTCGTTACCAATAAAAAAAGAATTTCCATAATCGGTTCATAAATAAGGGAGATATCGGCGAACAAACAAAAAGCATATACGGTCGAATTGAACCTCCTCCATTTTTGAAGTCGCTTGAAAATATTTGCTTACATAAAGAAATGACACAAATTACTCGATAGTAAAGACCAAGGCTGTCCTTACTTTAAGATTACTTAAAGATTAACTTTTCACGCTTTTCTCATTCCGAGGTCCTTAATTACATTTTCATACAACAGAAGCCGTGCTATGTCGCGTTCAATCGACAAAATCGCTAGGTCAGACAATCTTGCATGGCCCATCGTCGATCGCAGGTACGTCTTTATTAATTTGAGCTTACTAAATGGTCTCTCGCAGGAAGCTACAGTCACTGGCATGGTTAAAAATATCTTTATAGCGACTACTACATTGGGAAACATTTCCTTTAAATCCAGTTCAACTATAGCTTTGAGAAGACCCACACTAGAACTTCAAATAATGTAGTCTTCATTCAACTTCCTATGGGGAAGTACCCAGAAGGCTGGCAGCATTGCCACGTTGTAAGGCAGCAGCCAAACCAGCACAACCCGCCGTTACTGGAAGATGAGAAGGTGCAAGGGTGTCGAGACAGGTTGCGTCCCACACCAAAGACCTTCCCAGCTTTCAGGGCATAATGGACATACCGTCGGGTCTCTTACCATCATCGCGTGCCAAACCCTTTGGTTCCAGAACAGCTGGCACACCAGCGATGACAAGAGCTCGACGGATGATGTCGTTAATGCTGGCGTGTCGGGCTATCCGGCCCGCGCTTCTGCTACACGATAGGCCGTGGTGGCCGAGGTGGTCGACCATCTCACCGCATTGACAGCGATGCGGAGAAACACAGGGTGCACCTAGACGCAAGCAAGCAGCAACCCTCTGCAGAAAACCTCAAGCGGCGCAAGTATAACAACCTTGCTGGTAGTTATATCTTTGAGCCGTTTGGGGTTCAGACGCTAGGTTCGTGGGGTCCGAGTGCGCTTAAATTATTCAAAAACATTTCGAAACGCCTGCTCGACACATCACGTGACCAGAGGGCTGGTCTTTTTCTCGGTCAGAGGTTAAGCATTGCCATACAATGTGGCAATGCTGCCAGCCTTCTGGGTACTTTCCCCACTGACGTCGATGCGGACGAATTTTTCGATGCTTTATGTAAATCAGTCTGGTCATTTCTGCGCCCCTCCAGGGTCTGCGCCCTGTGCCTGGGCACCGCTGGCACCGCCCTATTTACGGCGCTGGTTATACATATATATTACAAAATAGTGATAATATATAGCTATATGCATGAAATATATAGGTATAAATACATATATAAATTTGATTGCAATGGGGGCCCCACATAAAAGCAGTTTCGGCGAGATTAAGCTTAGCTGCGTATGCGGTTAGACATTAGGCAGCTCACAGACGTAAATAGAGCTTGTCTATTTTAGTTATTTTCACAGTATTATGGCCTACGGCATTTTGTTGGAGCTGCGGATGTAGAATCGACTTTTATTTTGCAAAAGAGAGTTATCCGGGAAATGTATAACTTACCCCGTCGCGAATCTCTGAGAGAACTATTTAAGACGATAAATATCCTCACAGTGCCTTCTCAATTCATATACGAAAAAATCTACAACTGTTTATTATGGAATAGGAGGCAAACGAGCAGACGGATCACCTGATGGTAAGCGATCAGGATAAAAGAAGATAAAGTAATAACTGTTTGATAAAAGAAGCGATTGACACAATTTAAATATGAGAGGTAAGAATAAGTTAGCTACACTACACCGCAATTGCGACTGTCCAAAGTGCAGAAGTCCATTATGGGATTGTCAACTTTGATGTGTCAAATGTTCTAATAAATTACCAAGTAATCAATTTTAAAACTTGTATAAAGCGCGAACTATGAAAAAGCATTCTATAAACTGTAACTGATTATATTGAAGATAAGAATGCGTGGCAGCATGCCGGTCCGGCTCCGCTAGACAATACTCAGTACACTCAGTCAGTAGTTGCTCATACTCTAAGAATTAGTCTTAATTGTAATGTTAGTATTGTTTCAAATTGTAAGTGCATATGTGGGCACCATGTTGAAACAATGATTCATAGCTTTTTATTAACCGACTTCAAAAAAAGGAGGAGGTTATACGTTCGGCCGGTATGTTGCTTTTTATTAACCGACTTCAAAAAAAGAAGGAGGTTATACGTTCGGCCGGTATGTTGCTTTTTTTTATTTTTATTTTTTTTTTGTATGTATGTACGCGCATAACTCTGAGATGCGTGAAGCGATTTGCAAAATTCTTTTTTTGTTTGAAAGGGTATACTCCCAAGATGGTCCCGTTTCCATGAAGTCAGGATCTGATTATGGGATCCAAGGGAAACCGAGGGGAACTTTCGAAAATTCTATGGGCGAGTAATCCGTCTATTATGTATTTCAATTACGATTTTTAACACTACAATTTGATAAGGGTCTGGAGTCGACCTGATGATGGAGCCGATAGACAGTCGAGGGAACTCCTCAGCGGTTTATATTGACTACCTTGTATTTGGGCTTGATTAATTTGTATTGATGAGGACTTAACACTTAGATAGAGTGGGGCTGTCATTGAGGGTCTGATGATGAAGAAGTGTAATTGTTAAGGGAAGTCCTCAACGGTATACTGTAACTACCTTGTGTTTGGGCTTGTATAATTTGTATTGATTAGAACTTTTCACCTATGTTATGAGTAACAAAACGGGTATATGTAGCTTTACACTGAAAATGATAAAATAATAAAATAAAAACTGCGTTTAAAAAACCGACTTCAAAAAAACCAAAAACTAATAACAAACAAAAAGTCAAAACTAAAAAGGAAAAAATTAACTATTATTAGTACCTACTGATAGGATACCCACCCACTGATAGGTTAGAAGTCGGTGCCATAAGCTCATATCATAATGATATAACTGTCCACAAAATTTTGAATTAGGTAGGTACCTATTAAGGTTTTAATGAATAATTTTGTATGGAACTTATGGCACCGACTTCTTACCTATCAGTGGGTGGGTATCCTATCAGTAGGTACTAATAATAGTTAATTTTTTCCTTTTGACTTTTTGTTTGTTATTAGTTTTTAGTTTTTTTGAAGTCGGTTTTTTTTATTTCAGAAGTTGATTCTGTAGTCCCATTAAATTTTGACGTTCTATTGTGGTTACATGGTTCTCACATAATTAATTATGTTATATACGATAGGTAAAGGATCAAATACTGTAATAATGTATCAATGAGAATCTAAAATACATTTTATTTAAAAAGAGCAGCGATGAAGATTTTTGCTCGTTCTTCTCCATTCGAAACTACACTTTGGAACGAGCGCCTAGCTTCACTGACAGACAGACGGACGGACAATTCAATTTTTGAACTTCCAAAAGTGCCTCATTAAGAATTAATTGAAAAATTGCTTTGACTTTCACTTATCCCGATGTAGACCTAGACCTAGCGTTGCAGCGATTTTAAATAGAATACGTGAACTTGATGTTCAAAGGAGATTTTATTAGGAGCCTTTTATTGAGGAGGAGCGCGTTCCCATGTTTGATGACACTGTAAAGGAATTACAGAGGAGAGAAATAAAAGAGGTCCGGTGAGAAAGTATCAAGAAGCAAGTTATCCGTCGAGCGGAGGTTAAGCTGTGGCAGCTGCCTAATACCTGGAGGCAAGAGTTTAAGTTTTGTGGAGCACAAGGATAATTAAGAATATAGAAGAGCATGCAGAGGGATCTAAGGGATCTACTCTCACGCATAGGAAGGCATTTTAGGTGATTTTCTTAAGTTTTAGGTTGTAGTATAAAACACAAGGATGAATTAAAAAGTGTATTTTGTAAATTATGTTTTCAAGAAGATAACATTAACATAAAACACCTCATCGAAAGAGATTAAAACATTGAGAACAATAAAATTGAATTATCTTAGTAATATACCCATTTACAACTACACAACACACAGTCTACATTTATACATACTGGTATCACAGCTACACAATGTTAAATGCTACGTATATTTTAAATTTCGATTTCCAATCTAAACAGAAGACAAAGTCGAGTACAAGAAACTGATCACGGCACTCCCTCCGACTGCTTGTGATGTCTGCCACAAATCTCACACTTGTACCGTTTACGAGTCGAGCATAAGAGAAAATCACTTTACTACAACTTAAACCTAAACAAGATAAATAAATAGTTTCAGTCGCAATACAAACTAATGGTTAGTAACTAGAGTAGGCAGCTACGCAGGCGGGGCGTGGCGCGCGTGGAACATGAGCGGGATGCCACCCACTATGTTCTGCACGATGCTGGAGGTGGGGTCGGACTCCAGCTCGCGCTTGGTCTCCGGCGCCGGTGACACTGAGAACTTGGCCAGCACTGCTGCCAATCCAGCCAGCGACTGCATCTGACCCAATCGACCACCTGGAAATCAAACAAACCATCTCGTCAATAAACATGTTAGGTGGAAAAAGTCACTGTGATATTAAGTATTTATTTATTGTTATTCATTTTAATTGTAGTCAACTTCAAACTTAGCAATTTAGTGAAGTGACATCTGTTGGAAGTCGAATAAACCACTACAGACACTCTTTAAATACCTCACGTGTGTACTTAAAATGGTTCCTGCGTTTTCCTAAAGATGTCACTTTGCAAAACTATGAGAAGAAATTAAGTTCACATTTCAATATTATTGCCTTGGGTTCGATTCTTCACCCTAAAAATATTTGTGTGATTCACAAATATTGGTTATCACCGCAACAAAAGATAATTTTCTTGTCGTAAGCTGAGAAAGTATCCGCTTTGTGTTGTTGACATTTTCATTGAAGAAACCTTTAGTACATCACAGAATCAGGAATCATATGTATAGTATACAGCAATAAATTACTATTTCCGTACTATACGGAACTCGTAAGATTTATATATCTATCTGATAAATTATACATAAACATGTCAGTACTCACCGATGCAGGAGCGAGGTCCATCTCCGAACGGCAGGTACACGAACTTGTGTCTCTTAGCCACTTCCTCCGGTTCGAAGCGCTCGGGGCGGAACTCTTTAGGGTTGTCGAAGTATTGTGGGTCGTTGTGCAGTGCAACTAGAGGGATGTTTATCTTGACACCTTTATCGATGGTGATGTCCGTCCCTGGGATGGTGTACGGGCGCACGCACTGCCTCAGTAACATGCCGGAGGACGGGAAGATGCGCATGCCTTCCTGCAGCACCCAGTCCAGGTAGGTCATCTCCTTGACCGCGTCGTAGCTGAGGCGGTTGTTGTGTTTGGCGAGCACTCGGTCGATGTCAGCCTGCGCCTTCTTCTGCACTTCTGGGTGATAAGCAAGCTGGTGCAACGTGAAGCTCGTCGCTGACGAGGAAGTCTCAAAACCAGCCGCAAAGAAGATGAACGCTTGCGCTGCTACCAGTACGTCATCCATCTCCAGTTCCACAGATTTGGGTGTGCCGTCTGGGTTCATTTCTTCCAGGGATTCTACCAGGATCTTTCCTCTTTGTTGCCATTCCATCAAGAAATCTATGAAGTCGTTACGGCCGGACGGCTTATAATTTCTTTGTTTTTGAATTTGATTTACGAGAGTTAAAATATCGTCTTCCAGTTCCTGGCCCAAAAATTTAAGTGACTTAAATAAGTCAGGGAAAATAGTTTTGCAGAATATTACAATACAGCGCTTCAAGTCTATCTTGAAAATTTTCATGCCGAGTTTCCTAAAGGGTGAACTATCATCGTTAAGGGAATCGGCGTCGAGACCAAAACCGCAGGCACCGATGAAGTCGGTGGTGTAGCGAGCCATGAGCTCGCGGGCGTCTATCGGGCGGCCGGCAGCGGCGGTATCGAGTAGGCGTGCCTGCAGCTTTTCAGCTCGCTCTACAATCAATGGGAACATCGCCTTCAGCTTGCCGCTTGTGAATGCAGGAGTCATGCGCTGCCGGAGCAGACGCCAGAGGTCACCGTCCGCAAAGAATAGGTTACGAAGCAGAGGCTCGATCACTTTGTGTGCAGGCGACAGGCCCCGGGAGTAGAAGTAGGAGAAGTCTGTGGTGATGATTCGTTTGACTAGGTCGGGGTCACGGATCACCAGCTCAGGGATAGAGCCGCGGTAGTACCCCACGAACCTCTCTCCAGGATACTTCCAGTAGGTGTCAGCTGCCCTCTGTGCGATACTGCTCTGGAGAAGGTACCGCTTCGCATCGGTTCCGAAGATTGGTATCGGTTTGTCATGTTTGACTCCTCTTTCCTTCCAGTAGTTGTGGTTGCGAGTCCCGTACAGGTACAGGGCCACTACTCCCACAAGTACGAGCGCTACTACGATCATGTTGCTGGCTGACTGCTGACTAGCGAATGCCTCAATCCAATCAAGCCGCTGATTAAATAGTGTTCTGTATCCGGCACGATAACGCTCCGCACCCGCCTACCACGCACTGTTACGACACACAGTCACTGGAAAATATTATTTGAAAGGGTTTCCTAATATTAGGCGTTCATAAAACAAAGAATCATATGCCGATGAAAAATCGACTTAAAAGTGATCACAATAAGAACTGATCGCTCAAATTGATATTTGTTAATGAGTAATGCGCACTGTGATACGTCGCTATAATCTAGAGATGTAATGTGTAGATAGTATTTATAATTAGTCATAGACATTAGTGCGCTGATTAAACTAATCAAATTGTGTTTTTCTAACTCTGTAATGGTTTACCTTTCGAGAACTAGAAGTAGGCGCCAGCTTCAGGTAATCGAAGAACTAGTTTTGTGGAAAATTATTAAACATAACATTTTTTGAAAGAGGCTCATCACCTGGGACTCGTAACATAAATAGAGAAAAGTGGGTGTTACTTTGTACAGTGGTATTAAGTACCGTAATGTGCACCTCTGCCTAACCCTTCGATTTTTGTTGTGTTTTTTTTGTTGTGTTTGTTATTATCAGGAGAAGGTTCTTATGATAGAAAAAATCCTTAAAATTTTATGGGAATGGGAGAAAACGGGATTGCGTGTACGAAGTCGCGGGAAGAAGCTAGTGCTGTATATATATAAAGGGTATACGTCCAAGATATCAAAGTCTAAGCATTTATGTATTTCAATTAAACCATAATTTGGTACTTTTGAAACGTCAACAAATACAAAATAAATAATAGTCTATCAGTCAGTCCATCAGTGAAGCTAGGTGAAGCTAGGTGCTCATTCCAAAAAGTAGATTCGAATGGAGAAGAATAAGCAAGAAACGTCATTTGTTACTCATTTTAAAAAAGTATGTTCTACAATGTCTCTGATACATATTTCAATACTGTACGCATATGTAAGAACAATGCAAAGACACGCTTGACGCATTATACTAATTACAAAACTTACAAAAATGAATAATTAAAAAATCTTATAGTCTAACATGGTGCTCACTTAAGCATACTGACAATCCATAAAAATAGTGCGTCTATACATGAAAAAGGAAACTCTTTGTTTCAATAAAAAAGAAATGCTCGATACCATAAGGAAACTAGATTGTCTACATTAGAATGAAAGTATTAAATTATAGGTAATTTAATACTTTACAATAGTTACAATAGTAGGCTATTGCAACCTGAGTAACTACTGAGTATATTTGAGTATTGTCCAGTGGAGCCGAACCAACATGCTGCCAAACATTCTTATCTTCAAGATAATCTGTCAATTTTTTTATGTCAAATTCGCGCTTAATATATATTTTAAATTTACTTTCATTGAGATCTAGTATGTTACTTGGTATTTGATTATAGCATTTAATACATATCCCCATGAAGGATTTCTGTACCTTGGACAGTCTGAATTACGGTACAGCTAATTTATTTTTGCCTCTAGTATTAAAATTGTGTCTATCGCTTCTTTTTTCAAACAATTGCCTATTTTTCCTTACATACATTATATTTTCATATATGTATATATTGACAGGACACCGTTAAAATATTTATCGTTTTAAACAATTCTCTCAGCGATTCGCAACGTAAGTTATATATTGTAGTTATATATTTCCATGAGGTCAGGATCTGATGATAGAATCCTAGGGAAACCGAAGAGAACATTCGAAACTTGTAGCGGCGAGTAATGCGTCTATTATATTTTTCAAATAGTATTATTAAACACTACAATTTGATAAGGGTCTGGAGTCGACCTGATGATGGAGCCGACAGACAGTCGAGGAAACTCCTCAACGGTTTATATTAACTACCTTGTGCTTGGGCTTGATTAACTTGTATTGATGAGAACTTTACACCTAGATGGAGTGGGACTGCCATTAATGGTCTGATGATGAAGAAGTGTCATTGTTAAGGGAACTCCTCAGTAATTAGCTTGTGTGGCTTGATGAATTTGTATTGATTAGAACTTTTCACCTATTTAGATTATGAGTGGCAAAATGGATCTACGTGGCTACACACTAAAAATGATAAAATAAAAACTGTTTAAAAAACCGACTTCGAAAAACCAAAAACTACCTCTAATAACAAAGAAATGGTAAAAACTAAAAAGCAAAAAGTAACTATTATTACTTACTGATAGGTTACCCACCCACTGAGGCTAGAAGTCGACGTCATAAGTTATATACAAAATTATTCATTAAAACCTTAATAGATACCTAATTTATAATTTAGTGGACATTAAGTCATATCATTATGATATGAGCTTATGGGACTGACTTCTAACCTCAGTGGGTGGGTAAACTATCAGTGACAAGATATCAATGATAGTTATTTTTTAGTTTTTACCATTTGTTTGTTTTTAGTTTTTTGTTTTTTGAAGTCAGATTTATAAACGCAGTTTTTTATAATAACTGTTGTTAGACACATTAAATTAACTGAAGTAACGGATAACTCACATAAATGACTGAGAAAAGCACCACTATGACTGAGTAAGCTCGTCGTCGACACATTCACACATGTTGCTCATGAATAAGAGTCCCGTTGTGACTTGAAACTAGTAGAGCTTATCTCAGTGTATTTTCGTGAATAAACCGATACTTTTAGCTAATTCAATGTGTGTTTCACGACAGTTATTATAAAACTTTTCGCAGTCATTTAGTACAACGTCAGCTTAAATAATTTTGGAAATTGTTAGTGAAAATGGGTTGGTGAGAAGAGACCTGCACGCAGCGGTTCCCTGCGACCTTCATTAGTTCGTCTGTCCATATTGTGAGTGTGAGTGGGCGACGCTTCCAACTGGCAGCAAGTTCCAAATAGAAGCTGATCGGAACCATACAGCCGTTGTAATCATTCATTGTGCTTACTAAAGTCTGTATTGTATGGTAGGATGACACACTCCTACTTACGGCTAAAAATAAACACAAAATTAATAAAAACTATAAAACATATTATATTAGATCAAAACATATATTAACGATAAGAATGATAACCACAGCAGACTGCTACATGATTCACGTCTTATAAATATTCTGAATTAAAATAGATAACGTATACTTGAGTCACCAGTAATAACTGGCGCGTTGCCTCGTTGGAGGGTCGATCTGACACTGGGTAAGTAAAAGTGTTACACAAGGTTTCGTCTAGTGATGGATTTGTAATAAATGTTATTTATCTGAAGATAACAGCTCTTTCTACCCTCTCGCAGAATAAGAAACGTCTTGTATAAACCTGTCTCCTGGCTGACTTCCCACTCACCTGAGTCTGTGTGGGTGTCGCCGGCGATATCATGACGTCACGAGGTGGTAGAATGTGTCGTATCTTATCTCCGTTGAAGATATCACACAGTCAATCAATTTGTATTAAATCACTTCGCGGAGAGAGCATTAACTACTTATTCTTTTTACACATAGATTTAGATTTTTTATTGTATGTTTAATGCATACTACCTCTTGGTATTAATGATGGACTTGTGATCAAGTAGTCGCAACTACCTGCAAGTGGTTCTACTAGTGGAGCTACCGGTAAGAAGGGCATGATTGATTCCCGGGTACAGCAAAGTGTCACCAGGACCATTTTCGAAGTCTGGACTTGTATCACCGGTCGGTACCCGATAAGAAAAGATGAGCACAAAGACCTGAACAGTTTGTTCAGTATCATGTAATTATGCTGCGTAGCTATATTTAGTTGTGACATAATAAGTAGTATTTGCAATAAGTATAATTACAGTCTTTATCTTATCGGATAAAGGTTAGCATTATTCATCATACAACTGACACTGGGTTTTTTGGAGCCGAGGAAATGAGCTATCTACAATACCAATATTGTTGTTAATAACATCTTGAAAAGGAACACTTCCTTATGTGGAGCACCACCCTCCCTTTCGGCCAATGATCTAGAATCCCATGAAAGGAGGGGCCATAACATACATCAGTAGTATAATTCTAAGCTTTATGATGTCAGACAAGGCTCCATGTTTATCAATGGTTAAAAAGTGTAATTGTTCTTTGACTTAAGACTTAAGACAATAAGCTCGGATCAAACGGCGCTATGCACATACTTTTGTTTATTCTTCCAGAAAAAAAGGACATGCGAAATGTGTGCAAATAGATTATATCAGTAGTGTCAGGGTGAATTTGAGTGTCACTTACAAACTTATAAATTGTGTAATTACAGTGTATCCGCTCTGGCGATGTCTTGCTTAGTAGTGATGATTGCAGATTTCGTCAAAGTCCACCTGATAGGGTTCAATGAAACACACCGTCATCGTCGATACCACGTCGATACGATCAGACACTCGAATACAGTCAGTAATAATGTTCCACATATTATACTTAGTTACAAATACATTCCAAAATTACATTTTGAACAATAATACATAAATGCTCGCGCCTACATAGTACGTTGGGATATACAGATGTAATATGTAAATACCAAATGACAACTGTTCTAGCTTCATAGATCTTTAGCGCCATCTATCTATACTTATAACGAAACTTGGTACAAATATTTTTTATACCCCTGAGCTAATTATATTATACTTTTCATCACGCAACAATCAATAGGAGCAGAGCAGTAAAGGGACATGTTGGGAAATTACTCTGTTTTTTAAGCTTCCATAAAACTAGGAGTACGATTACGATGGAACTTGGTATGATTGTACTTTAATATTATGGGTGTGATGCCGACTGAGTACTTTTTGTCCTGAAAAAGTATATACCTACGCTAAAAAACAAACTTAATTATGTGACTTAATTCTTAGACACAGTTACTGTACCAAACGCAAATATAATTTTGGTGAACCGCTATTATAAATGCGAAAATTTGTGAATTTGTGTGTTTTTGTATATGTTTGTTACTCGGTCATATCAAAACGGCTGAAGGGCCCGGGATGAAGGGCTCGGGGTGAAATTTGGAACAGAGCTAG